ATCCCGAATCCACTGCAAGGAGTTCAGAATCCAACAAGAATGTAAACCATTCCAATATTTTAAGAAACAGACCATTTGATTGTAATTGCAATTGAATTATATAAATTCCTTTGGCGCACAGTAAATTACGAGCCGTACAAATCAGGTGACAATTAACCAAGACTGACATTCGATGGATAGGGCCAAAATTTTAGTGCTCACAATGCTCTGCTGAGTATAACTTAAGTCACCTTCAGTTTCCATGTCGCAATAAGCCAGAATAGAAGTCCCAGTTCTTATGGTAGAGAACCAATATTTTCCACTGGTTGCTTGACCCTCACTCGACTTGATTTCATGACACGTTTCTGCAGGCAATTCGGAAATGGTTCCTAAACGAACTGAAAAAAAAAACCGACAGAATGTTTTGCTGTAATTGCATGCATCGAGTTAGTCTTTCTATGATCCAGGCTTAGATCTTAAATGGTATAATGTTCACACGGTCTTGTCATGTATACCCCTGGATGTGCAAGGTTTCTTGTCCTTCTTTTTATCATGTTTGCAACATTAGAGACCTTTAGGTTCTACCACGATGAGATCTTCTTTATACTTAAGAAGTACGCATGCGTAACGATGCAGCACCATTTTGGCGGAAAAACATGATAGCCTTCATCATTCTACTACGGGTTTTAGAGAGAATGTCTTAGTAGCGGAAGACACGTTACCAAATCACAGCATGAAAATGGAGATTTACGCAAAATTAAAGTTTGCGTAAACCTGCGTAAAGTTGGTCATCCAACTTTACGCAAACTTTCCACGGCGCGTAAAGGTTTGTTAAGGTAAATTTACGCGCTCGGCTCTTAAAGGTTTCGTAAAGCTAGCATAAAGTTTTTGTAACAGCTTTACGCTCATTTACGCTACAAGTAAAGGTTTAGTAAGGTTGTCATATAATACTAGCTTCCTAACGGGAATTTATTCCCGGCACTGTTTTTAGTAAGTCGTTTGTGTCCTGATACTAGTTCGCATAGTCTTTTTGATCACTCATTTGGTGTTCGATGTTGGTGTGCGATGTAAACAAGCCAACCACACAAATTTCTTTTGGTGGTGCGAACGACTTCGTACACGCTTAAAAATGACGCTGTAAAGAAAATTCTGCTGGCAGAGTTCATGCAAAGATATAGCTTGCGACTGTGCGGCAATTTTCGAAAAACGGCATATCTGTCGCGGCAAACACAATAGCATTCAATACTCAGTAGTATTGCCTCATTGATTTCAGTCAGTATAAGGTGTTTCTTCCTTAACGGTTACCTCTCTACACGGGCCATTTTTTTTTTTTCGGCGGACGGTCCATACATGACATACATCCATTCACTTTTCTTTCAACCTCTCTACTATGGCCATTTTCTTCGATGTCTGTAAGGTGGCCGACGGCGAGTTTTACTCAAAGAAAGAACGCATTACTTAAAGAGAAAGAACGCATTCACAAATTACTCTGACTATTTTACATTCAACGAAGTACTGGCTTCATTGTTGAATCTCCTTTATCGTTTCCTTATTTTAAGTCCGCGGACTTCAGTTTTGGGAACGGACAATTTGTTAAAAGAAAGGGGCCTGGAAACAATAGAGTGAAGGGACACCTGGTCAGCGGGCTTGTTCCTTTGCACATGCTCAATCGGGTTCGTTGATTTGGCGTCCATTTTGAAAGTTCCAACGGTTTCAAACTTGCTTCTTTGAAAGTTTGGAGATCGTTCATATATTATGCTTCTTGATAGCATCACAGGACATCTTAAGGTTGTTACAATTTATAATGGCACTATCAGCCTTTAGTAATCGATCACTTCTCAAGTGTGCAGCAAGCAACCCTTTCGGGACGAGATACTCAGTCAGAAATGGAGACAGAAACATCGTGTGAAGCGCAAGCATTAACACTGGAATGTCCACAACACAGACCAAGACTGGGTTACACGTATTACTAAGGCTCTTCATTTATTCAAGATCTCGCTGAAAAGAGCAGATAGTAAGGAAAGGTAAGTTGTCCTGACTCGCCTTTTCTCTAACTTTTTAAGCTTTATTCCAACTTGTTTATGATGAGTTCGAATGACTGTCTCAAGTACTCAGTAACTAACATTTCAGTGAGCAATGAAACCAGCATTAACCGTTTAAAGTAAATTATAACTAAACATGTGTATTTATTTGGCATAACCTTTCAATACTAAGCAA